TTAATTACAGGTATGTGGAGGAGCCCTTACGCCGTCCAGCAGTGTCCTAGTCTCCTTGCTCCTCTCGTTAACACTGACTGACTGGCCCGTCCCACATACCCATATGAGTGGGTGTCTTTGCTTAGTGCTAGGACTGGATCACAATATGAGTTCAGACAGTGGATCAGGCAGAGACGGTTGGTGTGAGTAACTGGTACAGTGTGTTACTGGTAACATGGTTTTACTTCTTGAGATCGATGTGAGAGGTGGTTCGCAAGTGAGTGGTTCGATTGAGGAGTTTTTTTTAGAGTGGGGGTGTGTTAGAGTAGGGTTTCATAGTGGGGTGTTAGAGTGAGGGGGAGTTAGAGTGAAGGGGTTAGAAGTGGGGGTGGTTTAGAGTGAGGTTTAGATGTAGGGGCCTGTTAGAGTGAGGTTAGAGTGGGGGCGTTAGGAGTGAGGGTGTTAGAGTGGGGTGGTTAGAGTGGGTGTTAGATGTGGGGGTGTTAGAGTGAGGGGTTAGAGTGAGGGTGTTTAGTTAGGTGGGGGTTAGACGTGAGGGGGTTAGAGTGGGGGTGTTAGAGTGGGGGTTAGAGGGGGGTGTAAGTGAGGGGTTAGAGTGGGGGATGGTTAGAGTGAGGGTTCGAGTGGGGGGTTGTTAGAGCAGGGTTCATTAGTGGGAGGTGTTAGAGTGAGGGGTTCGGTGAGTGGTTACGATTGAGGGGTTTAGAGCGGGGAGGTGGTTAGAGTGAGGGGTTAGAGTGAAGGGGTTAGAGAGAGGGGTTAGAGTGGGTGGGGTGTTAAGAGTTAGGGTTAGAGTGGGGGTGTTAGAGATGAGGGGTTAGAGTGGGGGTGTTTGAGTGAGGGGTTAGAGTGAGGGGTTTAGAGTGAGGGGTTAGAGTGGGGGGGTGTTAGAGTGATGGGTTAGTGTGGGGGGTGTTAGAGTGAGGGGTTAGAGTGGGGGTTGTTAGAGTGAGGGTTTAGAGTGGGGGTGTTAGAGTGAGGGGTTAGAGTGGGTGTGTTAGAGTGAGGGGGTAGAGTGGGGGTGTTAGAGTGAGGGGTTAGAGTGAGGGGTTAGAGTGAGGGGTTAGAGTGGGGGGTGTTAGAGTGAGGGGTTAGAGTGAGAGGTTAGAGTGAGGGGTTAGAGTGGGGGTATTTAGAGTGAGGGGTTAGAGTATGGGGTTAGAGTGAGGGGTTTGGAGTGGGGGGTGTTAGAGTGAGGGGTTAGAGTGAGGGGTTTTTTTAGAGTGTGGGTTTAGAGTGGGGGTGTTAGAGTGAGGGGTTTAGAGTAGGGGGTGTTAGTAGGAGTGGGGGTTAGAGGGAGCGGGTTAGAGTGAGGGGTTTAGAGTGGGGTGTTAGTGATGTGGGGTTTGAGTGAGGGTTAGAGTGAGGGGTTAGAGTGGGGGTGTTTAGAGTGAGGTTTTAGTGTGAGGGGTTAGAGTGTAGAGTGAGGGGTTAGAGTGGGGGTGTAGCAGTGAGGGGGTTAGAGTGATGGGTTAGAGTGAGGGGTTAGAGTGGGCGGTGAGTAGTGTGAGGGTTAGAGTGAGGGGTTAGAGTGAGGGGTTAGAGTGGGGGTGGTAGAGTGAGGGGTTAGAGTGAGGGGTTAGAGTGAGGGGTTAGAGTTGAGGGTTAGAGTGAGGGGTTAGAGTTGAGGGTTAGAGTGGGGGTGTTAGAGTGGGGGTGTTAGAGTAAGAGTGTGTTGTGGAGAGTAGGATAGGAAGGAGCTGAGGAACAGAGAGGTGTAGGAAGTTTAAACATTCGCTCCACACTCCAACAAAAATAACAATCAGAGTTCTTGGCTATAAAAGATTCAACACCCAAAATGTAACTTGTACCCTCCTGAAAAAAAAATACAACTACACAGTAAAAACTTTAACACACAGTTAAAATATCTCACATCTGTTAAAAATCCATCAACTGGATTACACAAAATAAAAGATTAATCTAAAATTTCACCGAGGTCCCAGTAGGTACCCTGGGGATTATAAAAGCCGATGATAAACAATTAAAAATGTGAAGAAAACAGTGAGAAATGCGAAGCAGAGCTAACAAAACACAATAAGTTGCACAAAAAAACAAGAGACTATCCAGCACACAAGTGATCATGGCACAGTATGTATAAGCAATCTTACATACTGAGGTCGGCGAACTTTTTTTTTGGTATTAACCTGAAACAAATTTGTGTACAGTGAAGTTACCCACTAGAAGTTGGGTATAGTCCTGACACTTTTCCTCCTAAATTTTTTTTCCTCTCCCCGACTATCTTCTTCATCCTGTCCCCACTTGCCCCTCGCCCCTCGCCCCTCGCCCCTAGTGGGCCCTTCTTACCTGTGAGTCTCAGATCAGTTCAGTACCCAATAGACTTGAAGGTCCACAGAATCCGGGAAACACAAGGGGCATTCAAATTCAAAATAGTTTATTGGATCCATTTGAATGGAGAATAGTCATACAAGCCGAAAAGTATATATTATAAGCTCTAAAGCAACTTTGAAAATAAAACAAAATTAACAAAATAATAAAATGTAATATTATTTTTTTGTGCACATTATACATATATATATATATTATCATATAATATATATATATATATATATATATATATATATATATATATATATGTGTGTGTGTGTGTGTGTGTGTGTGTGTGTGTGTGTGTGTTGTCGTGTGTGTGTGTGTGTGTGTGTGTGTCGGTGTGTGTGTGTGGTGTTGTGTAGTCTTATTAATGAATTGATTTCTGTGGAAGTGTAATGAGGAATTCCTAACATTTACATAATCCTACATAGCTTCCTGTACAACTTCCTCGTATCGAATCTGATTACTACCTTTTATTTTCCAGGCGCCATAACCCTTAAAGGTTTAGGGCATAGTTATAAATACAATAATGATGATACAAGGTCCACCGATGAGTTAAGGATAAAGTTACTTCCCTCAAGGGAGGTTCCTTGACGCTGGTGAGGGGCTGTGGAGAAAATTCTCCAGTAAAGGAGGTATATCTTAGCCGTCTGAGGGCCTTAGCCCTCCCAGAAGGGGCTAGTGGACTTTCCCTTCATCGCAAACAGCTTTATGAGGACCACATGTTTGTACCATAGCGTCACGAAGCACGCTGTCCTCTCCTTGTTAGACTTCTTGTTGAAACTACACAAAGTAATTATTCTTTTCCCATAGCAGGAATTAAGGAAAACTGCACCCACTTTATCTACAAGTTGCGACTATTAGGAATTCTAGTCTATAGCTAGATAACAAGAAATCTACCCTCTTGTATTGAATAGTGTTGCAATGTGTAGCAAGGAAGAGAAATAAAGCTGATTTTAGCATATCCTTTGTGGGGCGATAGGGGGGGGTGCGGGGGCAGGCTTTCCCAAATTTCTTAAGGAAAGACGGGGCGTTGTGTTACGAAGGTTGCCTTCTTATTTTTAAAAGACAAAGGGCGTGTGATCGTGATTCTTGACTTTTCATTCTAACAATTCCCGGAAACTAGGAAGGTTAGACTAGTTTTCTTTCAGGAGTAGGAAATTCGCAGTAGAACTAATCACGTAGTGTTATTGTAATCTATGTACTCCCTGCTATGGATAAATCCACGAAACTATGAACAAATGATGGAACTGAATGGTGAAGTGCAACTGGCATTGCGAGTGATTGAAAACGAAAAATTCCCGACATATTGGTGAACAAGTGCAACATTCCCCGAGACACTCAAGCATTCAGTCAAGTCACCGATATCGGCCTTATTGGCGCTATCAACGCCATAACCTCACGTTAAAACAAGCAAGGTAAGTCTTAGTTCACATGTAATGCCAAAAATGAACTACAGTCCATGGGCAGACACAAGGTGATAGAAGGGTTTTACGCCCAAACCAAGTGAGTGCCAGTAAGTATTTTACGCGAGAATGAAATGCTGAGATATACACTCCTTTAGGGCAAATTAGTATCTATCCATTTATTAATCCACAGCCACAGTGGGGCCTGGAACGGCACCCCGAAGCGATGGCCAGGGAGAGGCTGATAAGATGTCTGAAATCTTGAGATTGTGCCCACATTTTGATTCTTCTAGATGAATAAACTAATGTCTGATAAGACTGCTACCCATCGTGACCACGTTTAGTGACATAAGCTGCCGAAAATTTCTTTAGGTTGCATCCTTGTCTGAAATAACTGATATGTACAATTGTGTAGTTATGTCTAGTGTGATCTCATAAAACCACACTGTAACCTTAGTAATCTTTTTTTCTTCTTAGTTTTTTGTGATACAGCTGACAGGATGAGCACGGAGTGCACTGTACGCCAGCCTCTCAGGCGGCACAAAGAACCCTAAAACAAAAGTTTGTTATATGGGATTTGGATATAGCAGTGTATCTCTTCAATGAAGGAGGTGGGGCCTTGATGCTGGTGAAGGGCTCTTGGTCCAAGGAAGTGAAGCAACTCTCCTTTTCCTCGGAGTAAACCTAATTACCTCCTATCCCCTATTCATAGGTATGAGTTAATTCTATGGGGGTTAACACTAACCTATGAATATAATGATAATTAATAATAATGATTACTAAATAATAATAATAATAATAATCATAGAAGCAGCAGCCTTTGCCTCAGCATCCATCCGTTCATTACCCAGGACTTTAGTATAACTCAGGGAACCATTACAAATCCCACATCCTTTTGGTGACTATGGATATGGGTGGGAAAATCGTGAATATGTTAAACCACACGAATCTGTAATCAAGTTTGTTATTATACTTAATTTTATACATATGTGTCAACTGAACTTTTGCTATGTGACCACTATAGTTTCTTCCACTTAAGACCTGAGTGTTAAGTGGGTAGACAATCGTGACGTGTCGAGTTTGTTGGGTGTTAAAATAAGCAGTGTAGATGAGAGGATGGTGGAAGGTGTGAAAATGTAGTTGTTGTGGTGGAGGCTGAGAGGGTGGTGGTGGTTTGTGTTGTGTTGGTGGTGGTGGTGGTGGTGGTGGTGGTGGTGGTAGTGAGACAGTGAGTGTGAGAGTAAGTTGTCAGTGGCTCGACCGACTCTGTAGGTGGAGCACCGTCCGTCTCCTCCTGCGAGGTTGCCTCACAACACGCGCCCACCTCTCCCTCTCACCCTTCACGTCTTACCTTAATCTCTTCAAACCATTTACATCCTTTAACTATACCGATGAAGGCCCCTAATAACTAAAACCTATACTTCTAAAAGTTAAAAAAAAAAAAAGTGCAATACACATTTTTTTGAAAAATATTAAAATTACAGTATAAGATAAACAAAAATCACAGTAGTTACAAAAAAAATTATCGCGTTTACGGTTTTTCACTGTAAATACGCCAGACGAAAGTGTAATCGTGGGGAAAGGTACTTAGGATGCAGGCCAGGCCGCCGCCTCACTAAGTCCCACCTTCAGAGCACCATAAATAAGGCACTTGGCAGACAATACCCGGAAAAGTGTTTCCGCTGGGGGGGTGGGGGGAAGCAGGGTACTTGGAGTCTGGTGTTGGACGCCTCCCTGTGGAGGCTGTGAAGCGAGGGTGCCAGAATACTGGAAGACTGGTGGAGGCGTCCCCTCCCTGCGGAGGCTGTGAGGTGGAGGTGCCAGTGTACCGGGAAGTTGGTGGACAACTTTTCCTTTTGGAGGACTCGTCCTTGTGGAGGTTGTGAGGTGGAGGTGCCAGGGTACCTGGAGGCTGGTGGAGAACGCCTCCCTCTGGAGGTTGAGGTGGAGGTGCCAGCATGGAGTGTAGCAGAAGTATCATCATCACCTGGGTACTGCTGGCTGCTCTGCTCCTCCAAGGTAACACTAACCTCTTCTCAATATTCTCTCTCACGTTTTATAGCCCGTACTCACATGCAACTACAAATAACAAAACATTGGTTAACAGCACAAACCAACAAACACGAAGAAAATGAAACAGGGTATGAAGAGTACTGAACATTTTCGTCTATAACTGAACCTTTCTTCACGAGTCCCTTGGATGGTATCAAACTTTTGCCGCCTATTCAACAGGCGATATATTACTCTTAGGTGCTTAGCTTTCCCTCTGATTAAAATCGATAAATCAGCAGACTGCTAAGGTATTGCAATAACTTACTCAAACTTGTATTTCACGAAATGCTAAACCTACATGGGCCATTCAGTGCATAATATCCTATTAACAAGATTCTATATGAGCTCGCCTGACATAGGTTAGGTTTTTAGAGCAGAAATATCTACGATTCTAACATGGGGGAGGAAAATGGGTTTGTAATAAACTGAAACAACGTCATGACTGGAAAACAAAAAAAAATGTGTCCCTATATATGCAAGGTAAACACAGCTAAGTAAAGACAAGTCCTCTGGTCCCCTGGCGGCGCTCACTCTGCTGTGAGAAAGAACTTAGATGACCATTTTCATTTTTCAAGACCTCGGAGCTGTCCTCCTCTTTCTCTGATCAAACCTGATTCCATTTCATTTCTCCAGTTTCTGTATGATCCCAATCATATTCCACCCATTATCCACACATTATAGATTGCAAGACGTTGTTACTGCTCGACTAATGTTAGGCCATAAGTATTTTTGGCAGTATTGTTTGTACGAAGAAGCTAATGCCATGATAAGCAAAGTGTGTGTGGTCAAAGACATGTCCATACACTTGAATATTATATCTTAAAGTGTTCAAGCATCCATCCCATAACAGACACCTTCAGACACTTCAGTGCCGTGCGTTTAAAAATTAACGTTTCCCCTGAATTTAATAATAATTATAAGGAAGCCCCGTCTCCAACCGAGAGCTTCTTCAAGAAAATAAGTATGAGACAGGTAGTGGCTCATATCTCGTATTATTGTGAAGGCTGGAACCACCTGTAGGAATGGGCGAGTCAGGTTACTGCCTCAGGAGGTATTTTGTTTGTCAGAAGAAATGGGAAAATTTCTCCTGAACCAGGTCATATTATATGATAACTCGTTATGTGGAGCTTTTGGTTATATAACCGAGGCCTTCAGCTGGCTTTCCTGTCTAACCAGTAAAAAACTAAATATCACACCGTAAGATGCTAAGGAACGCGTTTTCATGTTCTGTGAGGTTGTTAACTGGTAAATTACTCTCTTTAGGTTACTAAATCAAGATAAGTTTAAGGTATCTGTTTCACTAGGATACTATTACAGGGTAAGCTTGAGGTGTTGGTCAATTCAGGTTACTACCTCAGGTAAACCTTCAAGCATGAGGCTCCGGAGTCTGGATATAGCCTCAGCTGTAAGGTTATTGCTGCAAGGTAAACTTGAGGTATTAGTCTGAGATGTCAGGTAACTGCTGCAAGGTAAAGTTAAGTTATTAATCTGAGATGTCAGATTACTGCTGCAAGGTAAACTTGAGGTATTAGTCTCAGGTGTCATGTTATTGATGCAAAATAAACTTGAGGTATTAGTCTCAGGTGTCATGTTATTGCTGCACAATAAACTTGAGGTATTAGTCTGAGATGTCTGATAACTGCTGCAAGGTAAACTTGAGGTATTTCAGGTAGTATTGCTGCAATAACTTGGTATTGTCCAGGTGTCAGGTTATTGCTGCACAATGAACTTGAGGTATTAGTCTCAGGTGTCATGTTATTGCTGCACAATAAACTTGAGGTATTAGTCTCAGGTGTCATGTTATTGCTGCACAATAAACTTGAGGTATTAGTCTCAGGTGTCATGTTATTGCTGCACAATAAACTTGAGGTATTAGTCTCAGGTGTCATGTTATTGCTGCAAAATAAACTTGAGGTATTAGTCTCAGGTGTCATGTTATTGCTGCACAATAAACTTGAGGTATTAGTCTCAGGTGTCATGTTATTGATGCAAAATAAACTTGAGGTATTAGTCTCAGGTGTCATGTTATTGCTGCAAAATAAACATGAGATATTAGTCTGAGATGTCTGATAACTGCTGCAAGGTAAACTTGAGGTATTAATCTGAGATGTCAGATTACTGCTGCAAGGTAAACTTGAGGTATTAGTCTCAGGTGTCATGTTATTGCTGCAAAATAAACCTGAGGTATTAGTCTCAGGTGTCATGTTATTGCTGCAAAATAAACTTGAGGTATTAGTTTCCACACCGTAATGACCACATCTGGTAGCAACAGCTCTGTGGAAGTTTAAACTATCTGAATATTTTTTTAAAAGTACGCATTTACTCCATTATTTTTCCGTATTTATCTAAAGTTTGAGGGCAAACACTTGTAGTTTTTACCTGTGAATTTGGAGATCCTTCTCACCACGTCCCTTAAACGGTCCAAACGTATATATACGTTTTTCCAACATTTGAAAGTATGTAAAAATTTTAGATCTTCTTTTGATTTTTACATTTGAAAATGTGTAAAAAAAACTTTTATCTACATTTTATTTTTTGTTATATTTGAAAATATGTAAACATTGATCTATTTGGACCGTTTAAGGGTTAAATGTAGCGTAACTTTCTTGTCAATATCCGACATAGCTTTTATCTTCAACAATTCTGGTTTCTTTAGATTTTTTCTGTCTGCATAAAGAAAAGCCTAGCAGTTATTAACTTCAGTAGCCACTTAATGTTTATGAGGTGGACAGTAGTTACCCCATACTCTTCCTGTGGATGGTAGTCACCCAATACTCATCCTATGGGTGGTAGTCACCCAATACTCATCCTGTGGGTGGTAGTCACCCAATACTCATCCTGTGGGTGGTAGTCACCCAATACTCATCCTGTGGATGGTAGTCACCCAATACTCATCCTGTGGATGGTAGTCACCCAATACTCATCCTGTGGATGGTAGTCACCCAATACTCATCCTGTGGATGGTAGTCACCCAATACTCATCCTGTGGATGGTAGTCACCCAATACTCATCCTGTGGATGGTAGTCACCCAATACTCATCCTGTGGATGGTAGTCACCCAATACTCATCCTGTGGGTGGTAGTCACCCATACTCATCCTGTGGATGGTAGTCACCCAATACTCATCCTGTGGATGGTAGTCACCCAATACTCATCCTGTGGATGGTAGTCACCCAATACTCATCCTGTGGGTGGTAGTCACCCTATACTCATCCTGTGGATGGTAGTCACCCAATACTCATCCTGTGGATGGTAGTCACCCAATACTCATCCTGTGGATGGTAGTCACCCAATACTCATCCTGTGGATGGTAGTCACCCAATACTCATCCTGTGGATGGTAGTCACCCAATACTCATCCTGTGGGTGGTAGTCACCCTATACTCATCCTGTGGGTGGTAGTCACCCAATACTCATCCTGTGGGTGGTAGTCACCCTATATTCACCTTGTGAGTGGTAGTCACCCCACACTTATCCTGTGGGTAGTAGCACCCCATACTCATCCTGTGGGTAGTAGCACCCCATACTCTTCCTGTGGGTAGTAGCACCCCATACTCATCCTGTGGGTAGTAGCACCCCATACTCATCCTGTGGGTAGTAGCACCCCATACTCATCCTGTGGGTAGTAGCACCCCATACTCATCCTGTGGGTAGTAGCACCCCATACTCATCCTGTGGGTAGTAGCACCCCATACTCATCCTGTGGGTGGTAGTCACCCCATATCTGTCCTGTGGGTGGTAGTCACCCCATACTCATCCTGTGTGGATGATCACCCAACACCCATCCTGTGGGTGGTAGTCAAAATATTTAGAGGCACGTAATGAGTCCAGGGACTGATCCCCCAACATTCTGTTAGCTAAGTAAGTTACACAAGTAATGACCAGTTTACAGGAATAATGAATTCAATTACAGCAGTAATGAGTTGGTTAGAGTTCCAAGGCGTGTATTTTTTTTTATGTATAGACATTTTATCAGTTCTCTACTGCACTTGTCCCTTCAAGAGAGGTGCTGTGACGCCGGTGAAGGGCTCCTGATCCAGGGACTTGGAGCTACTTCAATTTCCTGGATCAAACCCGATTGCCTCTAATTCCTTATTCCCCAAGTTGTGTGTGGCTCCTATGAGTAGGAACACTGGGAAGAAGTGTCATTTGTTATGCATGTTTTGGGATCGAGAGTTTTGGGGACATGTGTCAGTGGTGTTTTGTTATTCAGGGAAGCTGTGTTGGCCCGCGACGGCCACTCCAACCTGCTCTACCTCCTGCGTTTTAACAAAAATTTGCTCACTTAGCTTACTCGTCATTGTACATTTTGCCACATAGGATAAACCTATATTAATTTTTGTTCTAACCATTCGAAGCAACACAGTAAATATATCAATTTTCGTTAAATATTTCTAGGTAGAGTTACGACCACCTTAAATAGGTTGTGTTTAGTCACTGGAATACCCACATACTTCAAGGCTCCAGAGGTCTGTTTAACACCTATCATGAATGTTTTTAATCCTTAATGTAAGAATTAAAGTATACTCTGAGAAGTACATATAACTCCAATGTACATGCACTGTTGTTCTCAGTGTGTGCATCAATAGAGATACTCTTATCTGACTATGTACAAGTGGGAGGCCTCGGTCACATGACCAAAGGCTCCAACTGTGGACTGTGGGTCATTATATGAATAAGACCCGCGTCAGGAAACTCCTGTCCTGCTTCCGGGCAAACATTATAATACCTTAAATATGTACAAAGTGCATGAGAGTGAGGCAGGTTGTGAGAAAGAAACTTCCAACAGGTGTACATCTATTATGATGTACACCTGTACACACACACACACAATAATACTATATAATATATATATATATATATATATATATATATATATATATAATATATATATATATATATATATATATATATATATATATATATATATATATATACTAACAAACTTACACTAAACATTGACAAAAC